ATGTGCACCATCCCTAGACCATTGTGCCATGGTTGGAGTGGGTTTCGCTACCAAAGTCTTAAGTCACTTAAATTACTGAATTTACTATACTAGTGTACTGTAGACTACAGTGTGTAGATCTACACTTTTATAATACGAAGTGACTATTTCTCCGAACGTTTGGAGAAGGCCACCTCTATTCTCACCCGGAGTGAGAATAGTAGTAAGTAGTGCAGGCGAGTCTTGTGGCTATTCTCACCCGGTGCGCATTCACCAAATTTTGCGTTCACCCTAAACCACAGAATTCTACACTGTGATTACAGAAAAATTGTAGAATTCTGTGCCGTGAACAAACGTTCCATTACAACTGTAGCCTACTAAAAGCGTACAATTTTGTTTGTGGGCAGTGGAGAGAGAGAGAGAAAGAGAGAGAGGAGTAGCGCGAGAATTTCCGGGCAAAACAAAATGACGACCCGCGTAGTTCAGCTCGATTCAAAAAGTTAAATAGCCGTAGCATCTTTGTAGACAACCAAATTAATTTACTTTTGTGTTTTAACATCATTTTTTAACTTTGTTTTGGTAAATTTGATCGTCCACACCGATAGACAGTATTCAGAAAGAGACAGAGAGAGAGAGAAGAGGGGAGGAGTTGATCTTGCGAGAACTTCGGGGCGGGTGAGAATAGCCACTTTCTTTGGAGAAATAGTACCGATCTTTATTTCTCCGAACAGTTTCCGGCTTCCGGTCTCGTGATTTTTTGCCTATTTATTGCGAGAGTTCGGCGCCAACTTTCATTCTGCCTCTGGTCTGGGAAGGAACACAGCATGGCAAGCCCGCCTACAGACAACCTTCAGACTTCAGTAACACCCACCACACACCCACCACCATCATGCACATGTACACACACTAACTAAACATGACCAGTGGGCAACTTTAGTCTTTTGAACGTATGACGAGCTGAGCTGTGGATGGAGAGACAGTGTGAGTGAAAGAGCAGGTGAAAGGAAGAATGTGCGAGTGTATCCACAGGTGACAGCTATAGTATACAACTACAAGAAGACACCGACCACCCCCCACCCCCCGGTTCACAGCTCACGAACGAAAGGAATGCAGCTCAGGCAGTGTTTTACCTCTATGTATTATTGTCCATGGTTAGCAGGGTGCAAGGGAATGAGTGAGGTTTTCTTTGTGTGTGCCTAAAGGGAGGGGGTGGGGTATGTATGTCATGCGGACGGGGATGAGCCGCGGGAGAGAACACGGGAATTGAATGAATGAGTGAAACTGAAAGAGATGAACGACTCATGATGAGCCCTTGAGTGAATGGATCCTGTGTTTCTATTTTTGTGTACTTTGAATCTTTGAACTGTTACTGAATAAAGACTGATTTAAGCCCGAAAAACAAACACACACACACACTCCTCACTCTCCACTTACTACCACACACAGACACACTCACACACACACGCACACACACACACACACGCACACACACACACACACACACACACACACACTCACACACACACACACACACACTCAGGGGCAAATTTTTGGGTCTATATCTATTTCAATTTTCAAGAGCTAGTCTAGAGATTTTTAGATGAAGTGTAAAAACGTGAAAAAGAAAGGTTTCACAACAGAAAGAAATCAAAATTAGAACAACCCACAAACATTAACAAATAAGGGCGTGTGTCCACCTGTCCGAAGAAGATTGGCTGTTTTAACCCTAAATGTGCGTAATAAAAAAAAAAGTGCAGGATATTACATGTAAATTATGGAATCACACACATTAAGGTACATTGGTCGCAGCAGTGACAAACGCAGATGCCAGTTCTATGTGTCGTTATCAATAACCCTCCGTAGGTCTAGATCTAGACAGCACACGAGTGAACACAACACATTACGTTTAAGAGCAGCACCCTTCATAGGCTACACATCATATCTGTAGCGAAAAACTGTTTGGAATTGTAGCATTTCTTTATATAAATATTTACTGCGGACATTTTTTGGACCGATTGAACCATATTGTATACGAACAATCTTTGGTAGGCCTATACTATAATTATAGATCTATATAATATCTGAAATTTGCGGGAAAGGATGAGATTTCACAATGTTCGGAGAAATAGTGCCCAGCTTTATTTTCCCGAACGTTCGGAGAAATAGTGCCTAGCTTTATTTTCCCGAACGTTCGGAGAAATAGTGCCTAGCTTTATTTTCCTGAACGTTTGGAGAAATAGTGCCCAGCTTTATTTTCCAGAACTCCACTCTTTGATAATTTTTGTCGGAGCGTCAATTGTCACAGAGTGACGCGGTGGCAATTGACAAAAATTGACTTTTTGTCAGTTACCACCGAGTGAAGCGGTGTCAAGTCTGAAAACAACACTGTCTTTAGCATACATCATAATGTGTGTCTAAGGGGTCAATTTGTTCTCAACTAATTTCACTGGACGAGCATCTAGTCTAGAGCTACGGTACCAACTTGGTGTGTTTTCAATGAGACGTAGGCCTAGATCTAGGC